CTGTCTGTACTAAAAATGTGAAAATTAGCCAAGCATGGTGGTACGCAACTGTAATTCCACCTACTCAGGACGCTGAGACAGGAGAACCTCTTGAACCTGAAAGGCGGAGGTTGCAGTGAGCTGAGATCGCGCCATTGCACTCCAGCCTGGTTGATGAGAAACTCTGTCTCAAAAAAAAAAAATAGTAACTCAGATGAGTGCAGTGGTTCACACCTGTAATCCCAGCACTTTGGGAGGCCAAAGCAGGAAGATCATTTGAAACCAGGAGTTCCAGACCAGCCTGGACAACAAAATGAGACTTCATTGTGGTTAAAAACGAAAATAGGGCTGGGCATGCTGGCTCACGCCTGTAATCCAAGCACTTTGGAGGCCAAGGCGGGCGGATCACCTGAAGTCGGGAGTTCAAGACCAGCCTGACCAACATGGTGAAGCCCCTTCTTAAAAAAACAAACAAAAAGAAAACAGATGGGCATGATGGTGCATGCCTGCAGTCCCATCTACTTTCGAGGCTGAGGTAGGAGGATTGCTTGAGCCCAGGTTGAGGCTGTAGTGAGCTGTGATCATGCCACTGCACTCCAGTGTGGGCAACAGAGAAAGACTGTCTCAGAAAAAACTAAGGGTTTTAATTTTTGGCTTTTTTCATTCTAAACAAATATCCACTTTTGTGTCCAATTTAGTGTTCATAATTAGATATTCTTTTCCTTAAAGAGGGTCCTTTGAGGCTGGGTGCAGTGGCTCACACCGGTAATCCCAGCACTTTGGGAGGCTGAGGCAGGTGGATTCACTTGAGGTCAGGAGTTCAAAACCAGCCTAGCAAACAGGGTGAAACCCCAACTCAACTAAAAATACAAAAACTAACCAGGGGTGGTGGCACATACCTTTAATCCCAGCTACTTGGGAGGCTGAGGCAGGAAAATGGCTTGAGCCTGAGAGGGGGAGGTTGCAATGAGCCAAGATTGCACCATTCCATTCCACCCTGGGTGAAGAAGACTGTGTTTCTTAACAAGAACAAATCAAAACAACACAAAACAGAGGGTCCTCTGAATAGTAAAAGCATCATACTCCCTGACACTACATAAAGTATATAAAAAATTTAGGGTCATTGTTTATACACCCATGCTATAAGAATTAAAGGAGCATAGCTAGTACTTGCCATTTCGTGTGTCTTGCTTGTACACTAGCTTAAGTATGGTCAGGTTACTTACCCTGCAATCTAAAAATGTCCCAGTGATCTGGGTGAGTGAACTACTTAATTATGTATTAGATGCCTAGACTTTCAGAGCACCAAATACATTTATATTACTTCTGTGTACCTCCTGGTTTCTTAGAGCCGTAATTTTAAAATTAGGATTTCATCAAATATAAAAATTTTAGTTTATTGCTAAACAACTTTATAGAAAACCATAAACTTACACTTCCACCAGCACTATACAAAAGGTCTCACTGAATAATTGCTGAATTTTAAAAGCTTTTGCCAACTTGACAGGCATTCTATTTAAATTTGCTTTTTAAAGCTTAACAGTTATTCACTTTTGTTGCCTATTTGGGCATTTTCCTCCCCAAACTGAGCTCTATTAAATACATTATATACTGGTTGTAAATACTAGTACATATTGAAATTTTCAGAATTACTGTATGTTTTTTTTTAGTTTATTCTTGCCCTTATTTGGGGGCCTGTCATGCACTTCAATTATAGTATATCCCTTACTATTGGGAAGAAACCCATTGGATGACACGTCAGCACATTAAATGTGTGACATTCCTTATCTAACCAATCTTATTCAAATGTACATTTTAGTTGTTTTCAGTTCCTTAAAATTCTGCAAGAATCATCCTTGTACACAGAGGCAGTACAGTTATAGAGTTTAGGAGGAAGACTTTTGAAGCCACAAACCTCCATATTCAAGAATCTCAGCTTTACAAATAATCAGCTGTGTTACCCTGGGCAATTTACTTAAGTGCTTCAGTTTTCTCATCTATAAAATTGTAAAGTGGTGCTAACAGTATCTACCCTTATGGTCATTACCAGAATTGATCCAATACTGATTGTAACAGGGCTTGGCGCAAGCACTACTTAACCTGTGCCTACTCAGGTGCATTAATTTTAGTTATTAGCAAATCTCTAAAATAAAATTGTTCCTCCTTTATCTTATCAAACTAGTATTTCCTAGTATGGTAGACTGCTAGTTCTCACCCTAAGTCTTTTCTGTTTCTACCGTTAAGTTTTTTCTTGAGCCCGTGACCACACAGCTTGGATGACAAACTGGCTATCTTTTGCCGCTGCTAAACATAGCCTCAACACACAAACTGACCAATGGGATGTTAGTAGTAATAAAACGTTAACTTCATAAATTAGCTTCAGTATCTCAGCGTGTTTCCCAGACACCCTTTCTATTTCCTCAATTGGGGAATGAGCACCAGAGCAAGCAACTTTGGATCTAGAAATGGAAGCTACCTTCTGAGTATGGCAGAATGCCTGCCTCTGGACAGCTACCCAAAATAAAAGTACATATTTTTTAGGGGTCCTTGTTTGCAGCACTTAATAATCTGCAGCCTCATATGCCTAGTAAATGAGTAC